TCAAATTCAAGTTCATTATATTTTACCTATGGCCTGCCTAATTGTTATGAACAATTCAGGTCTAATTATTTATTTTCATTGGCTAATTTTAAATTGAAAAGGTAAATATGCATTCTAGTGGAAGATAGATACATATTTGAAACTTCGAAATTGAGAAAGGGAAAGAGGGGGGAGAGAGTGACAGTAGGCAAATTTTGGGGTATTATCCTAATTTCCTGGAAAAATCTGGATCGCCTATTTTACCCTGAAAAATCATCTTTGCAACTTTTCTCCTACCCTCTACCCCTTTACAATGCGTTTCATATTTCAAAGCAAGACCAGAATTCTCACGTACCTGGTGTACAAAGACCTTAACAATACGTTATAAATAAAACATGTGCTTTACACGAGCAAAATACTCTCTTCAAAATCGGAAAAAAAAAATTATAAATCAATATACTTGTTTGGTTCTTCTTTTTGATTTGATTTGAAAAGGGCAGGCAAAATTTTTAATTGCAGCTTTCACATTTAAGTTTCTGTATTTAACATTCCACTCTTGAATTTTACTGCCCATGAACACCAATATTTGAGCAATAATCCTAGTAGTGATTCGACTGGGCGACTTTTGCATGATGTTAATAGTCATACGTTTTTTGCGCAGAGGAACATAGCATACCATTAGAATGAACATGCAACACATAACAGACCCCATTGTTTTGTTTGCAAATGAAGTGAGATGCTGAAATTTCAGTTCTGGTGATTTGTGATATTAATTTGATATAGGGTTGCATTTTTTTTCCTTTTTTTCCTTTCTGATTCAGGTGATCCACCGAAATCAGTAAAAATAGTAAGTGTGAATTTTTTTGGGAGTTATTTGTAAGAATATGTCATTATGTCAACGAATATGTGTTTTTTTTTTTATCTCTTTTTTCATTTCCCAAAGTAAAATGGGTGCTGTAAATTGAAATCTATATTAATGAAATGTTGGAGGAAACCAGAAGAGTGAAAAAAAAAATAGTGAAATTTTGGTCAAAGAATTTTGATCTTGGAGATTGTTTCAAAATGAGCCAGGAGTAAAGGGGAACAACCTTAACAACCCGTATAAACATGTGTTTTTTTTCTTCATTTTCAATTTTCAATTGTGACATTGGTGTTGTACATCAGAATCTGTATTAATGAAGTGTTCAACCAAAAGAGTATAAAAAAAAAAGAAGGGGAATCTAGTTCAAAAATTTCTATAAATCAGAACAATCTTAACAACCCAGTTCGCTTACTAATGTCATCTCAAAAGACTTTGAAGAGGTTATCTCAAAGACTTCGAAGAGGGCAACCCAGTTGAATTCACGGCTTGAGGGCAACCTAGTTGGATTCATGGCTAATGTTATCTCAACGATTTTGAAGAAGGCAACTCAGTTGGATTCACGGAATAGAGAAAAGCACAAACATAGATTATATAAGGAATAAGTAGCACCTATTTATTTATTTTTTTGTCAAAGTCATTTAGCGAAGCCTTGCTAAAAATGTATATGGTTACCAAGTGAAAGCTATCAGCAAATTGTTATATTAGCACTATTGATTAAAATTTGGATTTAAAATACATTTCAAAACTTTGCTCATTTTGCTATGATTTGGCCCTATTATTTTTCATTTTATGTTAATTTTTTGTGGATAAAAACAAAAATTTTTAAGAAGCTTTGAAGTTTCTGTCATCTAATTGATACAAAATCTTGCGAGTCTAAATGAAAATGAAAATAAATTGATACCATAACTTTGAAACTAACCTATATGAAATAATATTTTTAAATTCCTTATTGTTCCATTTTTTTGATTTTCTTTTTCTCTTGGCCAAATCACAATAAGCTTCATTGGGTCCCCCACACGTGATTAATAATAAGATAAATAATTTATTTTGAAAATTCTATAGATTTATGAAATAACTTATTATTTCAGAATCTCAAAAGATATAAAAATAACTGGGGATATTATGTTAAGTGATTAGTTGATGTTCAAAATATACTATACAATTCAAGTAGGCAAGTCGAGAAAAGAGATGGTTGAATCAAACTAATTTTGTTTAAAATTCTATTTTTGTCAGAGGGAAATATGAATGTTCGAGCATTTTCCATCAACGTACTAATAGAGTTATACGATATATCCGGTGTGAAAGGAGGCCAACATTTCTATTGAAAAATAGAGGGTTTCCAAGTCCATGGCCAAGTACTTATTACTTATTGGGTTATACTTGCTATCTTATTAGGTTCAACTACTATAGTTGTTCGGAATGGCTTAAAGTGGACATTCAACGGTGGAGGACTTTCATGGTCACGCCAAGAATGTTACTATCTATTGATTACTCCTCCCCTTATTTTGATAGAAAGAATATAGATGTTGCGAATGAATACTTATGACTGTGCAATCAATCCCTCATTTAGACTCGCACGATTACGCATGCCCAAAAAATATAATTTAACAATCTCATGCTTTCTCGAGTGGCCAAGAATTCAGCCAATCTTCTTGTTTTAATGTAGACAGATCCCTGAAACATGGTACCTTTTACATCCACATTGCTCTTATTCACCCAAGTCTTCTCTATATTTACGTCAAATTGTCTGTATGTTCATATGGCTTGAATGCCACCATGTTTTTTAGCTCAGCTTGTGTGTTTGTCGTGTTTAAAAATCATATTTTCACCGGTTGCAACAGTTATATGAAATATTCAATGACACATGGGCCATCCAAAAATATTAAGTTCCACGTCGGTGATTGCAAACAGAAAAAACCACTAAGATTGTTCAACCTACCTAGCCAGAAAAGTAGCTACTTGTATATACACGCAATATAGTTGGACAGGTTAACCCTTTTTCTCTTGTTATTGTTTAGTAGTTGTGGCAACGGGTTCCAACTTTGGCAACCACTCAACCATATGTTACCCAAATTGCTAAGCTAAGAAATCCATAAAAAATGACTTTCGTCTTTTATGAGTTTGATTAAACAACCAAAGTGCAAGCTAAGATTAACGTTTCTTCATTCAGGAATTTGGATTAAACAACAAAATCACAACAATTCATGACCTCTTCCAAGCTATGCACAACTAAGATGAGTGGATGAGCAAATTCAGAGAGGTCTACTGTTTTCATCACTTACATGCTAAATAGGCAGGTTTTCAAAACTCATTCATAGTATTAAATAAAGCATCCACATGTTACTGAAATGACATTTTGTGAGCAATGTTGAATAAATATGCAATCAGAAATAAAGGCAGAAAAGATATGTAGTTTATGCAATTTATCCCACTAAAGAGCTGGATCAATATAAGGACATGGAGGAGAAAAGTAAAAAGAGAGGAGGAGAAGAAAAAACTCCAATGAAAAAAATGCACTTAGCTGCTCGAACATAATAATATCGTCACCCCATCAATCAAATCTACTTGGGAAAGATACCATAAAGAAGCTTTCAAAACCAATGTCTATTATAATTTATACCTATTGTACAAAGACTGTGCGGGCTTGATCCTGCACGATATATATAAAATATTGGGAACAGATCTCTCCCCTGGTGAACTTTGGGCGAGCCGATTGAGTGGCCAAACACACTGCTCGAAACAGCTTACGATCCTGGGAAAGAAGGAACGATCCTGTACGTGCGAAAGGTATTTCCTGGGACAAAAGAGAACGAGTTAGAAGGGCGCCGGAGTGTTTTCCGGCGTATCCCCTCCGACGGTCTAGTCAGTCTTTGAATGAGAGAGAGGAAGGAGAAAACACTGAGAAGGATATTTTTGTAGTAGAGAGTTTGTGATTACATACCCGCTTTGTCTTTTGGGAGGGGTATTTATACCTTAGAAGATCATGATTGCTGTCAGTGTGGTCAGTAGGTAATCATCAGGCACAGGTAGCGTGTGTAATCATTTGATGAGGAATGTCTTCTCTAATTGATTGCTCGGGGTCCCGAACAATCAATGCTGAGTCTGTCGGGACGCCGACGGTACAATATGCTCCTGTCGGGAAGGATGCAATAAATGCTCTGTAATAGGAGCATTTATTGTCTTTCATATCCGAACCTTACCGCATTGAATGCGGTCTCGTCAACAGAAGGGTGCAATTAATTGTTTGCTTTCCCAAGTCGCGTGTCAGCAACGGCACGCGGTTTGTCTGCTTCGGATGTGACATTATTTGCCACGCGTCCATCCCTTATTGGCTGTTACGTCGGTATTCCAGCACGTTCTGACATTACTTGTGTAAGAAGAGGTCATGATGAATAACCCATATTGGCATAGGCTGATGTCCAGTATGTCAGTAGCTTTATCCGGGAGTAGAGGAAGCGTCCAGGATGGAGTGACCCTCGGCGCCGAGGAAAGGCTCACCTCGGGGACCAAGGGGGTGGTGTGTTCCCGAGATACATGGTGACCGAGGACACATGTCTTTGTATAATGTACCGAATATGTGATCCTATATGAGAGGTACCTCGGGGAGAGGACGCCTTGCCGATGGTGCTCGAACCCGAGCAACATTGTTCTAAAACCCCGAGGACACGTGTCTTCATCGTAGGCTTTTCAGAAGAGTCCCATCAAAGACCATAGGTTCCAGTGATGAATGATGGTTATTGCTGCTCAAATCGGAGGATGCAACCATGTAGTATTGAGTGACCAATGCCAAAGAATCATCGAGGAGAGTCCAAGCTCAAAGAAGTAAGTTTCTAGAACTGACCTGTAAGGTGGCATAACAGGTGGGTCCAGAGTAGCAGCAATGGAGGTCGGCCGTGACTGCTGCCCTAGCCATAATGTATGTGATCATTGGCAATAGTAGGGAGCAATCCATTCAGGGGGCAGTGGCGGAATGCATGCATTGCATCTCTTCTTGCTTCCTTTTCATGGGATATATAGATAAAGAAAATGAGTAATGGTAGATGAACTTAAAAATTAGACTTCATAATCTCAATTATTGAATAGGTAGTGGGTCCTAATAAATGGTGGGACCCACAGTGAAATCAATGGTTGAGATTCTCAAGTTTAATTTTAAATCTATTTTTTAAATCCATGTAGCATTGCTCAAGTAAAATTGCACATTTCATATTATGTTGCTGTTGACCTTTATCTTTATACTAAAACCCTTTCATCATCCGTCACAGTGCTAATATAAGCAATTCGTGACAGGATCAAAAGTGTGCAGTGTGCACATATCCAGGAGTAGATTGGTTTACTTGATTCAATGGAAGTTCTCAAAAGTGCTGAAAAGCCATCTACGTCCTGAAAAAAAACAATGCTTTGGTACTGCACACCAACTCCGATAAATGCTACAAGTCATCAGTGGTTGTTTACTGTCACCTTTTCTCTCCAAACCAATGCTTTTGGACCGCACACCAACTCAATTAAACAGCAGAGTTGCATGTGGGTGTTTACTATCAGCTCTTTCTTCCAACCCTCATTGTAGCATCTTCCGCTATAATTACCAATAATCTCCACAAGAGCAAGAACCCCCCTTAAAGTGGTGGAAGAGGCTGCGGTCTCTAATAACTATTTCTCTATTGAAAATCTGAGAGATCAGCTTTATGGCAGCGTGGCAATCAGCACAAATCCGCAGGTTTTTCGTCACCCGAATGACGGTGCTCTTTTCAGTAGCAATAAGTCCAAAGGCAACAGCCATCTTTTCACTATGGAAAAAAAGGGCTTTCTCTTTTTCCTCCTCCTCAACATCAAAATATACCTCGTTTGTGCTTGCAACATGTCCTGCCAACCTTAACCGCTCATAAATCTCATCTATCATATCATAAATTTCTTTGGCTCGAGGATGGATCTTCTCCTCCACCCCAAATTCATGGATCTCACCATCAATCTCAATGGAGCTGCAGCCTCGTAACTTACAAATCCCTTTCTGCTTCACCCATTTTCTCAGTTTTGCAACATCGTTCCACCTTCCAGCATTAGCATATATATTCGACATAATTGCCAGGTACCCCCCATCTTCAGGGTCAAGTTGGATTAGGTGTTCAATTGCCCTTTCTGCAAGCTCGACATTTCCATGGATTTTGCATGCACCAAGTAAGGCCCCCCAAACCCCAGTGTGTGGGGCAAGAGGCATAGATTGGATTAAATCATAAGCTTTATCTAGCAAACCGGCGCGACCAAGGAGATCAACCATGCAACCATAATGCTCTAATTTAGGTGTCAAGCCAAGCTCTTGGGACATACTATCAAAGAACTTTTGTCCTTCATCCACCAACCCCGCATGAACGCAGGCACACAAAACCCCCAGGATGGTTACATCATTTGGCATCACAGCTTCATTCTTCATACGGTAGAAGAACTCTAAGGCATTTCTACTCTGCCCATTCAGCGAGAATCCAATGATCATTGCATTCCAAGCTACAGCATCACGTTCTAACATCTTGTCAAATACATATTGAGCACTCTCCAAGTCACCACACTTTGAATACATGTCCACCAATGCAGTCTCAACGACAACATTTAACCCAAGTTTGCTGCGATCAATACAGGAATGGAGCCATTTCCCCATATCTAACGCTCCAACTTGGGCACAAGCAGAGAGAATGCTCACTACAGTCACCTCATTAGGATTCACATTCTCCATTTGCATTTGATGAAAGTGCTTCATAGCTTCACTAATCCTCCTACAACGCACAAACCCCCCAATGACTGTGTTCCAAGACACCAAATCTCTTTTTGGCATATCATTAAAGAACCATAACATAACTTCCATGTCACCATTTCTCGCATACCCTCCTAAGATTGTATTATACATCAATATATCCTTAACCGGTGCTCTATCAAATAACATTTTAGCAACTTCAACATCCCTAACTTTCACATACCCGGAAATCATCGTATTCCAAACCACAACATCCTTATTGGGCATCTTATCAAACAATTCACGTGCTCTTTCCATGTCTCCACCATTATTTACAAACCCCGATATGACAGCAGTCCACGCCACTGTATCTTTCACAATCAATTCATCAAAAACATCCTTAGCCAACTTCATATCCCCAAAACCACTGTAGAATTCAATCATGCTCGTACCCACAAAGACATCTAACGCAACCCCAAATTTAAACAACTGTCCATGAACACATAATCCTCCACAAAAATCCATCAAATCAGTACAAGCCCGTACAATGAATGGGTATGTGAAACGATCAGGCTTAACATATTGAACCCTCATACGATCAAAATACAGAAGGGCATTTCTGGGTTCTTGATTTTGTTGGAAACCTCTGATCATGGTGTTCCATACGAACGAATTTGGTTCGAACATATTGTCGAACAATTGGGTCGCGTAGCCCATAAGGCCTAGAGTGGCACAATGAGTTATAAAATTTCCGACGGCGAAGCTGCTCTGGTGAAGACCTGTTCGGAGGAGGTGGACATGGAGGGACTTTAGGTGGTTCAGTGTTTTGATTGAGTGAGGAGTTTTGAGCAGAGACAGCGCGAGCTGTTTCTGGGATGTCCCCAACTCTGCAATGAGTCCCAGGAACCCCCCCATCCATCGGAACTACGGCTTCTCTGTGAGCATAGTTTTTGAATAGCATTCAAGCATCCTTTATGTTTGACCCTCCAAAGAGTAACATTTCACGTGTGGCCTCGGTCTGTCGTACGGGTTGGAGCCAAATACACAGTTCTTCCGCCAACAAAAACCAAGGAAGTGTGTTTACGACTTTTGCATTTGAAAGTTGTGTTTCAAAAGGACGCTTTTATTGAAAAACAGTAATTTAATAAATAAATTTAAAAATATTACAAAACTTCTGTAATCCAAGGAAGTTGATGGAAAGAATGATATAATGGACCATAGATTTGCATATAAATACCTCTTTAAATTTTACTCTGATTCACGAAGAATGTTCGTAACATAGACTTCAATAAATTTGTTGATTCTTACGAAATATTAGAAGAATTGAAAATAAAAGAGACAATTCTCTAGATTGTATTAATCAATTCAAAACTGTTGAATCTTAAGCTTACACGAGTATAAATAGTGTAAGAAACCATAAACGAATTAGAAAACTATGATCCCAATAAAATTAGAAAAATAAGTAAAAAAAAATCCTAATAAAATAACATAATTTTCTATTTAAATTAAGAAATAAAATAAAATCGACTAAAATTCCATAATAGAACGTTATTGATCACGCTCAATAAAATAAAAAAAATCACGTTCAATAAAATATCAAAAATCATGTTCAATAAAATAACATAAATAGATATTTGTGCACAAATTAACAATTTATTTTCATTCATTATACCATTATATTATATCAGTCTCCCTGCATCATGCTAGACATTTTCTCCCAAAAAATAGAATATCTATCTTAGCCAATGTAGAATACTATCTTGATCAGGTGGGCAGAGGTTTGGATTGGAGGAGGATTGACCCTATTATGTAATCCAATGAATGTATCAAAAGAGAAAAGAAAAATAATTTATGTCATTACATTCTGTCAAAAACTATATTTTCTGTCAGGGTAAAACTGTGGATTCCAATAACACCCAGCCTCAACAAGAGCTTTGACATGAAAGAACTAACTTGACAGTCGATAGTATTGCTGGGGACAACAGATTATCAGAGGTAGACGGCAGTGCATATCTGTTGAATTCACACTTCACCACAGACCAATAGGAAGAAGAAAAAAACCCATCTCGCCCGATCATGTTCAGATGAATCAATTGCAAGTTCAACCAATGCAAATTGTGATGCCTGTTCTAAGTTTACACGAGCCTAATAGTTGTAAATGGTATTTGTTTCTCATTTTATTTAAACACCATTTTGAATATCCTTGAAGCAACAGTACAATTCTACCAATATAATCCGGAGAGAGTCCCATGGATCACATCCCATGATCCAAGCCATGCTACTACTGATTAGTTCGTCAAAAATATTTCTGTTTGTTTGGATCATCACAACTTGCCAAAAAGGTGAGAAAAGGTAAAGGAAAGAATCCTGCTACTGTACACAAGACTAGGTAATCACATAAATTGCAAGGACTTGCAACCACGTTACTGCATTCCTCTCATGTCCATCTTTGATGTTGGTTCCCACCCCTTCGCCGAATTAAGTAAATGCGACCATAAACCCAACGTTTACCTGGTGTTGGGATGGATTGCTGCAAAATGAAATAGCACATGCATCATACATAACATAAACACCAAATATCAATCCAATAACATGATCCAAATTTGGGAACTGCACAAATTGTATTCTAATTTGCTGGCTGCTTCTATCTGTTTTGTCATTAAGCAAAAAAACATGAGCATAAACATTCAGACAGCATACATGATACTAAATTAACAAATACAGAAATAAAATTACTACACATTTTTTTCATGGCCTAGAAACATCTCACTAATAAATAGGTGTGCAAAGTAAACATGTTCTTCTTACCAGGCAAAGGTCCCTATAAGATTCACACCCCCATCTATTCTCAATTTTTATTGAGTTAATAAGAGGAGATAGGAGTGGGTGTCATTCCCCTTAATAATGGTTGATTTACAGTTTACTTTTAAACCTTCCCACTCTCCCACTCTCTCTCTTTCCTAACCCGACTTCTTTTCTCTCTCTTTTCCAATCTCCCATGACTCTATCTATCTCATGTCTCCATTCCCTAATGGCTCCCTCTTTTACCTACAGTTAATATCACAATTTACTATCATTTGATTGGTGAATATATAATTATTGACAAGATTTTGTTTACATAAAATGTGTACACACATCTACTTGCAGATGCGCTGTGTGTGCCACAGAAACTAGTTAGAATAGTGAAACATGCAGTCTCCAGTTTGGAAAAAAAAAAGAAAAGATTAAGCTATAATTACCTCAACCTTGGTTCGGAACTCTAGGAAGCTTTCACATACATGACATTCTGCTCTATGGGGAGACTTATTTGACTGAATGGACCTCACAAATGCAAAAACCTGCAGAAAATTTGTGCTTAAACTTGTACACTTGACGCATTGGAAGTTGACTATTAAATTTGTTTCCCAGATGTGACTGAAATCAAGATTAGAACCATAGTCATGGAGCTTATCAAAATTTGTAACTAATACAAATTACTCTTTGTTAAAACTGACCTCCTCCCCACAATTGGGACATGCCCCTTTTAGTGCTACCAAGTCATTTTTCCAAAGGCCATGCAGCGCTCCAGCTGTGAGGAGATCACAAATATGTGAGAAGGATAATAAGAAAGTAAAACAATATAAATACTGATATATTGTAATGAATATGATACATCAATCCCTTTGAACCATAGTTACCAGAATTCACTAAACTCCTGACGACCCATGATTTGGGTACATCGATCCCAAATGGAATGGATTCGCGATCTAGATCACCAAAATATACGACCCTAAATTATAATACTAACTCTAAATCAATTCACTTTAGAACATGTAGTACAAATATAAAATACATATTAAATGACTGTGTCTATATAGATTTATAATTATACATTGTTTTAGATAATAAAAAATCGTGCATAAATGTAAGACAAATTTTAATTGACTAGTGTTTATGGATGTTCTATGATATATAATGTTGCATAATAGTGAAAATGATCTAGAAAAATGTTCCAAAATGAATTGCAACCCAAAATACCATACCAACTAATCCTACTCCCATCATACCATATACCTAAGAAAGTATCATACCGCATACTCCTATCCGAACTATGTACCAAGGTGACCAATGATCCAGGTAACATAACTTTGAACCAATGATATATCTACTGATGCTTACTAAACTACACCTCAATGCACACATTGCACAATAGTCACTAGATGATGTTGATTAGCACACTTCACAAATGTCTCCTCATGTTAGCTATACTGATAACTGATTAACTTTTCCGAACATTATCTCTTTCATAATGATGTAAACTTCAATCCAAAGCAGTTTAGTGCATAAGGCTCCCACTATTGCTGGTTTGGGGAAGTTTAGTTTCTAATGTAAACTTCAATCTGACCTTGAAGCAGCAGTAAGTTCTGATAATTAATGCCCTCCATTAATTGGAGTGAAAAAGAAAAAAATTATGTTCTCAACCTAGTCAACTAGCTAAGGATGAACAAAAACTCCAAAGAATAACACATGCACGTACGAATTGCAGTTAATATGAAATATTCAGGCCCATATACCCGACACAGATGGGAAAAATATGTGATTGACCGTTAATGTAAAAACCTTTTGCTTTCAAGAGACCTATAGATTCTGAATCTTGAATTTTCTCCAGCTTCTTCTACAGTTGAAAACTTTAAACATGCCTTACAATATCTCCAATGCAAGCAAAAGCTTTCGATTTGTGAAATATAAGGAATATCAGTAGTATTCTGACGAGGACATCAAACTCATTACCATTCCTCTTCCATTCCACAAGTTCCACCTTAACATAAAGTCTAAAAAAAAGATTGCCAAGAACATCAAAACTTATTACCAGAAGCTGAAGCAATTGGATAGCCAACCACAGAGCCCAACACCATGAAGAAAATGCCATTCAGCATGGCAAGAAATGCTCCTGAAGAAGCTTGATTACTGTAGTACAATCCTGAATTGAATGCATCCTGATAAGCTTGCCCAACTGTGTAGATTATAGGTACAAGACAGGCTGAACAGCCAAAACCAAGAAACAAGAGCCACACACTTGCTAATGTGAAAACCTGTGAAGGATCTTCCTGCCCTACATTCACGTTATTCACTCGTCAAGTGAAGAAGTATGTAATGTTCATAGCCCTTTATACAAAAAAGCAATAGAATAATGCTGATTCCAAAAAGTTAATGCCCTATGTATAAGAAAGGTCATTCCCTGAAGCAGAACACTATTCTTACAATCTCAGGCAGAACCAAGCAAGTTGAAGTTTTTGGTGAAATATAGTGTGGCAAAAGACTGGTAATGTCTAAAGTGATTGTTTGAGAATGTTCTTCAATGATTCAACCTAAGTTTTTACAAGAAGTTGAAGTTTTTGAGTAACTTTGGTGAAAGATAGCGTGGCAGAAGTCTGGTACTGTCTAAAGTGATTGTTTGAGAATGTTCTTCAATGATTCAGCCTAAGTTTTTACAAGAAAGTTGAAGTTTTTGAGTAATTTTGGTGAAAGATAGCGTGGCAGAAGACTGGTACTGTCTAAAGTAATTGTTTGAGAATGTTCTTCAATGATTCAGCCTAAGTTTCTACAAGAAAGTTGAAGTTTTTGAGTAATTTTGGTGAAAGATATCGTGGCAGAAGACTGGTAATGTCTCATATATACCCAGTGATTGTTTGAGAATATTCTTCAATGTCTCAGCCTAAGGTTAGGAAAAACCCTCCTACTTTCTGCCTTCCCCCCCCCCCCCCCCCCCCCGATAGTGTGGTACACAATGGCAAAACAGCAATCAAAGTAAAATTACCTCAGCATCGGCGTAAGTGGAGTGCCGCCTGAGACTGCAACGTGGGTATTTGACAACGTATTTTGACCCATACCACCGCAATTTCAACTGTTCAATTCGTCTGTCACTATGTGAATACATTGAAAAGAATATATAACAATTTTACACATAAAATCCACGCACAAACACACATCGGGAGGGGCAGAATAGGATTGAAAAAAAAAAAAGAAATCGGCCAAGATTTACCTCTACTCTATCGAACATATCATCAACTATCAAAGGTTTCCCACTGTAATATGCATCGCGTGCCTGTATCAACAACAACCAATGACAGAGTCAGTTCAAGTAAACTAGAATTTTAACCCTAGATACGTATAGATCGATCTTTACAGACTTATAGAGATATAGTATTGAGCGTACTTGACGATAGAGAGACTCTAGGGTTTCTTTGCTGGCAGTCTCGATAGGGCCGACGAATATGCAAGACAGTCCCTCGGACGGCGGTCCACGCTCGTCGCGGTTGGAGACACTGTTGCTCCTGGAGGAAATCCGAACGGAGAACGGAGCTCCGGTCCGGGAGTTCCTGGATAGTTCAACGACGGTGGATCCGACGACGTTAGGAGTGACGGAAGAGCTGGTGCCGGCCATGAACAGCCAATTGAGTTTGTGGCGGTGGAGCGAGAGTGAAGGTTGCCTTAAACGTGCGATTGATATAGGACGGTTTGACTAGAGATTTTGATATTAGCCTCACAGATTTGGAAGTGCCACGGTTACTACGAGTATATATAGAGTGGTGTGACGAAAATACCCTTTTTGAGGCCCTGGTTCGTTTTCCCTTCCCGCGAAAATATCTCATTGGCTGCTTGATATTGTTCGCTTCTTGTGATTGGTTGTGAAAAGGTCCAAATTACAGGACAGTTTTAGAGCAATGTTGCTTGCACGGTTGTATTGATCTATTTTGTTTGTTTGGTTTTGATCAAATTGATCAATTGCATTGATTTACTCCATCTCCGTCATAATCATTACATTGACAATAAGTTCCAATAAATGATAATGCGCTCCAATATTCGTTAAGATTCATTATTAATTTAATAATTATAATTAATCTTCTTAGAATAATTCTACATTGACAAAATTAAAAAAATAAAAAACATAGTTCAAATAATGTGTTAGCTGATATGATAATTAAATCTTAAATTTTAAATGAAAAATAATAGAATCAAAAGTATCATTATTGCAATGTCAAGTTATTTGAATTTTATTTTGTTCCTTCTTTTTTTTTTTATCAGTTTAATATTATTCTTAATCTTAATCCGTATTCATTGTTTAAACACGACACGACACTAAAACAGTATAATTGATTGGGCATGGCAGGATATGCCAACAACTGAGTAAGGAATGAAACCAAAAACTCGATGTGGAATTGTGAGGAGTGGAACATACGTCTGTTGTTTGGAAAGCAACTATCCTATCCTAACACTTGATCTACAAATTAAAATGAAAAGCATCCTAACCCCTAAGGAATTGAACTCTGCCACTTCCAAAATGCACTAGTTCAACAACAAATTGTTTCTCCAATTGTTTCTGAAGTTAGGATCTTGGATGGGGTGTAGCCTGAGGTATGAGACCCAGGTGAGGACTCAAGTTTAAAAGCTCAATTCTAAAACTTTTATCGTATTGGTCAAGATTCTTAACAACTGAAATGACTAAGAGAAGGAAAAAAATGGCATCTCTTCATAGTAAGATTGATAAAAAGAAGTACACATCAAAAGTAAAACGAAACCTCCATTCTTAAACAACTGAGCTAATATATCACAGCCAGGAGAGAGAGAATGTGTAGTTATAAGCTCAGAATATTAACTGGAATTTGTACAGCTAATACAACTAAAACAAATTGGTCACTGTTTCATATTCTATCTTCTGTTTAAGATTTTGTTTAAATCTTTACACTACTGTCTTACTCTTGCTTAAAAAAATTGTTGTTATTGATTGAGGGACCCAATCGATTGACAGTTTTCAGGCGATTGCAAAAAATGAGTTCAATTATCATGTTTCAGGACTTCATGGATGTAATTTAAAGAAGCAAGTATACAGAATTGTGAACTAATAAAAGAAAATTACTTTATTAATTCGATTGAATGGTTTTTAGTTACAGAAAGACTGAATTAATAACCTTAATTATAGTAGTAACTACTTTTTAAAACTAACTTAACACTACTCCCAAAAATGCCTAGATCGTGAGTCTTGTGGGAGTTTGAATGTGTTCTTTTAACATTCTCATTTTTTGCATTTTATAACCACTATCCTGGATGGTTTCACCTTCATCGACGGTTATCTGACTTGTAATTCCGAGATCTTTCAAATAAAGTCGTGTTTGACCATCTCCCGCCTTTTCTTAGATTTTGTCATGTGCCAATTCCTTAATGTCCCTCAATTTGCCACGTGTTGGTGCATCAAGATTCTCATAATTTTACATTTTATGTCCAAACACTTGCTCTATTTGTTCTTAAAAAGAAATGATCCCACTCATGCTTTTCTACTGTGCCAAACAAATTATATTTCCAACTCTGTTCTTCATCAAAATCAGTACTAGAATTCCTCCCTTCTTTAATATCCCTCCTCAGTGCTTCTACTCTTTCAAGGACTCCTTTTACTGTAAAATCAAATGCATCTTCAAGTGTTTCTAACCTAGACCTTGGATCTGCATATATCACCTTAGGAATCAACCTTATAACCTCCTCCCGCATTGCAGATACCTTTAATTTGGAAATATTAGACAATACACTCTCAATGCTTACTTTCATCTCCTTGACTTCGTCCTCGGGTATTAGTACTGAATACTTGTCGAAATCTTTAGGTAAATGCCATAAGTATTGGACATAAGCCGAGCCTGGGGTGAAAAAAACTGGAATACACCCAGCCAAAATTGAATCAAAAGTTGATCTTCTAGTGAACGAATCACCCGGAGGCTGCAAACAGAAAACAGAGCTTTGAAACATCTTCATGACATTAGCTGGTTTGTGACACTTGTTTCCATCGTTCTTACATTCTAACAGTCTGCACTTTCGACTTGATGCTAGGCACTGTTCCATAATCTGACTTCGGATAGAGTCATCGAGGTTTGGCCGAGGGGCACCAGCAAACGAGAACAAAATCCGCCTTCTCTGCCTCCTCATTTTATTTTGCCACTGAAATACCTCATTGTCACTTGAAGGATGAAAATAAGTTGGATATGGTATCGCGAAATCGTTGCTGTTCCAAGGGCTTGATTCAATTGTTAGTATAGTCATGTTCTTAGCCTCAGGCAGCAACATTAGCTTGTTACCCCAACCAGAGTCCTCATCAATTCCTCTTCTGAAATCCCAAGTAATTCGACCTGCGACTAGAAAATGGTCTCTTCCCCACATGACTTTCCACTCGGGTTTTTCTCTAAGCCATTTGGCCAAATCAGAAGAGGCAGAGTCTCTCATTGATATGTTGGAACCCCATAGATACCTTGCAACATCAAGCCCTGCATAATATGGCACAAAGATAGCTGAAGCTTTTGATGAATCATTGGTCAAGCACTCGTACTGTTTCATTCTGTTGTGGAATATGACATCTAAAGAGAATTGCTGTGTGGTGAACCAACCAGTGTTCAGGAAAATCCTCTGAGGGTTTCCAAGATCAGGACCAAAACCCATGTTCACCATATACTGGCACATATCACTCCATTTGCTCAATAAACGACACTGTTTGATCACATCATCGTTGAATCTATTAGGAAGATCATGAACATAAATATAACGACCTAAACACGACTTGGGTTCTCTTCGAGTTTTGACCACAGGAAGTGCACTGCCTTGTTTAACCCCATTCTCCTTGACAACTTTCTTGTCTGCCCCTCGCCCTTTTTTGTTAATGGCACTTTTATTGCCATTTTTAGCTTCATTTGCTCCAAGAAAAGGATGCAATTCTTTCTCAACAGATGATCTGCTGGTCGGCCTTTCGCCGTGGTCCTTAACAGGTATAACATCCCTTGAGACATCACTAATACGATCATCACCGATTATGTGCTTTGTACCAACAATTTCATTGTCGATGTTAGGAAGTTGAACAGAATTCGAGTGTAAGGATTTGATGGAGTTTGCTTGCTTTTCGGCTATTAAGGAAGGTTCACGAAGAGAAGACCAATCATAAACATAAAGCAACAAGTACCAAAAAACAAACAAGGCAAAAACTCCAAACCAAAATTGATTGCGACACCTTGTGATGATCGAGTTATCCATCTTCTCTCGACGGGCCCTTGGACAGAAGAGTCTCCGATGGGTCATCAAATTGCAGGACAATTTCTCATCAGAGAAGCCTCAGGGACAAGAGACCATGGAGGATAACAGAGCACCATGACAGAGAAAACAATAATCAGCAACTATGTATATGTCGAGCGCAAGAAAAAAAAATGGAGATTGGGTATAAAAACTAAGGAAGTTAAGAAGAAAAAAAGGTTGAAAAATATTGTACAATTGCGTGGAAGGTGGGTTGATGGGGTAGAGAGAGAGCGAGAGAGAGCAGAAACGGGGGATGGTTGAACATGAACCGTTCAAGGGTTGCGTCCTATTATGGAACCTTCTAAATATGAGACGGCGTATAACGAATCAGTATGTCATCGGGGAAATTACATTTACACTCTTAGCTTTCACTGCAACTATAAATGGCACCCTCTTAATTACTCATACTAACCCCATACTTGATTAGGTTTATATTTCACGGGGAATGGTTTAGGAAATCAACAATATACTGTATCATTCCAATTGTTTCGAAAGTATCCAATTTGCCCTTAACCATCAAAATTAGAAAGAAAGTATTTTTTCAACTACTATACCAAATGTGGTAAATTTTCACGCTAGCGTTAATTTGAGAATAAGTAATTTTTTTGGGATCTAAAATAATAACATATTTGGTCAATAATGCTATAAGTAATAGAATTATAGGAAAGAAGTCTAACAATAATAACTACAATAACATTATATAATCACTAGTTATTACCAATTTATGAAAACACAGAGTAATAAAATAAATGGTTAATAATAAATATATTGGTGTTTATACCTAAAATTGAATCACAAATATAGAGAAAAAATAAAAAAATTTAAATACCGGTTGTAGGGATGAGCAGTGGTAGTGGGTGGTAGTGGTAGTGGTGGGAGACGGTGATAGTTGTGATAAGTGACGATAATTGTGGTAATTGTGACAAACGTGGGTGACAACTGTGATGATGATGGTTGATTTTGAGTGACGATGGTGGTAATGTAGCCATGAATGACGGTAATGGTGATTAGTAGTGGTGGTGATGGGGCGACGATATTTGTGGTGGCGATAGTGGGTTGTGGTGGTGGGCGGTGACAATGACAGTGTTGGATGACGATGGATGATTTTGGGCGATAATGAGATGGGTGGAGGAAAATGACGGTGGTAGGTGTGGTGAGTGTAGGTGACAATGGGTGGTGGCAATGGTGGGCGATGACGGGTGATGATAGTTGGTATAGTAGAGGTGAATGACAGTAGCTGGCGGCGATGGTGGGAGATAACGGGTGGTTGTGGGATGATAATAGTAGTGATAATTGATGGGTTAAGCCCAAATAGTCCAATTTATGTATTAAAGCCCAGCCCCGGTTGAGGAGCCCAACCTCATCGTGAACCCACCAAGTCCAAGACAGACTAAGACCGGCTAGACTTCTTGCTTAGCACGTCACCAAGAGGAGAGCACGGGAAGTTTATCTACACCGCCTTAGGGAGCCCAAGGCCGGTTGGACTTCTTGCTTAGCACGTCACCAAGAGGAGAGCACGGTTGGACTTCTTGCTTAGCACGTCACCAAGAAGAGAGCACGGTTGGACTTCTTGCTTAGCACGTCACCAAGAGGAAAGCACGGTTGGACTTCTTGCTTAGCACGTCACCAAGAAGAGAGCACGAGAAGCTTATCAACGGTCCAATCTTTGACCACGTTTCCTTCAAGAGTTCCCCAAACTCTTCCTTCCGTTGAGGATAAGTCGTGATCTCCACCGAAGATAATCTCTAAGCTGCGATAAAGAAGCCTTTAGGATATGTTATGATCTCCACAAGAATGATCTCTTATCTACTATAAAATGGCTCTAATCTGAGAGAGAAAGGGACACATGCTCATCAGAGACTTACAGAAGACGAACCGACTACCGGAGATTATTATTTTCTTTGATTCTCCATTCCCCCTCTCAAAGCTTGTATCTTCATTCTCCATACCTTTGAATCAATAAAATACCCGGCGACTGAAGCCATTGAAGAGTGGACGTAGGTCGAATTGACCGAACCACTATAAATTGTGTCTTCTCTAATTTTCTCGTTGATTTTATTGCATTTATTATCTATACTTGACAGGTGGTGTGCAAAACCATTTTTGTGCATCATCAGTTTGGCGCCGTCTGTGGGAAACGACAAAATTCTCACTCCTGAACATTACGTCCATTCACTAATGGTGATCACAACTCGATCCATTTACCAACACGAAGACAATCCTCCACGAGAGGAGGAGGTTGCCCCCCCGCCTGTCAACCCTGTTCCGGATATTTTAGCCCCGAATCCCCAACAAATATTGGAGACCATGCAGCAACTGGTTGCTCAAAACCAACAGTTACTGCAACTCATACTTGCTGGACAAGGAGGAGCACCACACGGAGGTGCACAACATAGAGGACCCCAAGGTGGAGCACCACACGGAGGTGCACAACGTGGAGCACCACATGGAGGTGCACAACATGGAGGGCCCCACAGAGGTACACAACATAGAGCACCCCAAGGAGCTCCACATCCTGGACATCAAGGAGCACCACACCCTGTTGCTCCACGCCCGGGTGCCCCATTGGGCACCCCACTTTGGAAAGCCCAACATGAGGGAGCTGCACCTCCCCCTCCCCTTGCTTTCCAAGGAGAGGACCCTTATCTCCAGGAGGATGAGGGTGAAAACCAAAGCATGGGGCATGGAAGCCACTTCCATGATCATTCCAGAAGAGCCCCCAATCATTGGGACGAGAAGATAAAGGAGGTACAGAATCAACTCGGTGATGTCTTCAACGCCATGAAGGCACAAGGACCCGAGACTGTTGACCACCTGGTAAGGCGTACTGAGACCCCTTTCAAACCTGATGTAGCAAACTACCCCCTCCCTCAGAAGTTCAAAATGCCATCCGTGGAGACCTTTGATGGAACAAAGGATCCACTGGACCACCTCGACACTTACAAGATCTTGATGCAATTGCACAACATACCAGACGAAATCATGTGCAGGGCATTCCCAACCACATTAAAGGGGTCTGCCCGACAGTGGTTTGCTAAGCTCTCTCCCGCCTCTATTACCTCTTTTGCCGAGCTTAGTAGATCATTCGTCTCACACTTCATAGGAGGGCGTCGCCACCAGAAGCCAGTTACGCACCTGCTTAGTATAAAGCAGGACCGCGAGGAGAGCCTGAGGAGTTACCTCACTCGTTTTAACGAGGAGGTACTCCAAGTTGATGAACCCGACGACAAGGTGACGATGACCGCCTTCTTGGGTGGCCTCCGTTCATCAAGTTTCCTTTTCTCAGTTCTGAAGCGCCCACCGAAGAGCATGCCAGAACTATTCACAAAAGCTCAAAGATATATGAATGCTGAGGAAATCAACAAGTTTAGGCAAGGTGGATCATCTCACAGATCACCAGAAACTTGACCTGCCTCTGCACTGTTCCCAAACAGGCAGCCTATCTCCAGCTTAACGGCTCTCTCAAGGGTCGCCGAAAAAAAAAAAAAAAAAAAAAAAAAAACTTAGCCTCTGTACTGTTCTCAAACAGGCAGCCTATCTCCAGTTTAGCGGCTCTCTCACGGGTCGCCAAAAAACTTGGCCTCTGCACTGTTCTCAAACAGGCAGCCTATCTCCAGTTTAGCGGTTCTCTCACGGATCGCCAAAAAACTTGGCCTCTGCACTGTTTTCAAACAGGCAACCTATCTCCAGTTTAGCGGCTCTCTCACGGGTCGCCAAAAAACTTGGCCTCTGCACTGTTCTCAAACAGGCAGCCTATCTCCAGTTTAGCGGTTCTCTCACGGATCGCCAAAAAACTTGGCCTCTGCACTGTTTTCAAACAGGCAGCCTATCTCCAGTTTAGCGGTTCTCTCATGGATCGGCAAAAAAAAAAAAAAAAAAAAAAAAAAAAAAAAAAAAAACAAAATAAAACTTGGCCTCTGCACTGTTCTCAAACAGAAAGCTTATACCTCAAGCTTAAAGACTCCCTCATGGGTCGCCAAAAGCTAGGTCTCAAAAAGTGTAGCTCTCTCACGAGCAGTTCTCCAACTCTGTCTTTGCTCTCGCGCAAGCAGCCTACTTCTCTCTCTCTCCAGGTAATTATGTGAGATATTTTAATGTTTAGAATAACATTATTTTTGTCATCACAAGTAGATTCTCCCGAGGCAGCCCCAGGCTCACCCAAGGCGCCCAGCACCTGGAGAAGGGCTTGATCATCAAGAGCAGCACCCAAAGGTTCCTTACTACTTGCAATGTCTAGCCCAATGCCTAGAAGTGTGCCTGACTGCTGTTGCTCGTCAAAACAAAGTTGCCCAGTAGCTTGAAGGTTGTCTGACCCTTCAAAATTGCGCAAAGCAGAATTTTCGGCGTAAAAATCAGCATCTAAGACGCCCAAATCAGCACCTCGAGTGGGAATCGGATCAGCCCATGCTCCCAGGCCACTGCCTAGCTCTCCCTGACGAACCTTGGACTGATTTTCAGCGCCCCTTGATGAAAAAATGCTGCTGCCCAGCGTTCCAAAGCCGCCCAGCGCAGCAGATCTGAAGCTGTCCAGGATGCGAGGAGCAGAGCCTAGGCAGCCGCCCAGGCCCCCAGCGCCTAAGCCCCCAGCGCGCGCGCGTTGCCCAGCTGCGCCTGCGCTGCGCTGCCCAGCCTGCGTTGCGCTGCGTTGCGCAGCCTGTGCCTGCGCAGCCTGCGCTGCCCAACTGCGCCTGCGCTGCGCTGCGTTGCGCAGCCTGCGCCTGTGCTACGCTGCCCAGCTGCGCCTGCCCAGCTGCGCAGCCGCACACCCAGCCGCCTGCCGCTTCCCAGCCGCGCTGCGCAGCCTGCGCCTGCGCTGCGCTGCCCAGCCTGCGTTGCGCAGCCTGCGCCTGTGCTGCGCTGCCCAGCTGCGCCGCCCAGCGCGCCTGCGCCGCCCAGCCGTCTCCCTTTCTTCAACCTCCACCACTCCCTTTTCAAAATAAAATGGGAAAGATTTGAAGTTTTAAAAAAAAAAAAAAAAAAAAAATGTAATCAATGCCTCCTTCTCCAAGTCTCCTTGGACATGGGGCATCGGGGGGCAAATGATGGGTTAAGCCCAAATAGTCCAATTTATGTATTAAAGCCCAGCCCCGGTTGAGGAGCCCAACCTCATCGTGAACCCACCAAGTCCAAGACAGACTAAGACCGGCTAGACTTCTTGCTTAGCACGTCACCAAGAGGAGAGCACGGGAAGTTTATCTACACCGCCTTAGGGAGCCCAAG